GGAATGGCTTTAAGCTGAAAGAGGGGACAGTTAGATTACATACTAGGAGGAAAATCTTCAGTGTGAGGGTGGTGAGACACTGGAAGAAAAGAAGTTGTGGTTGCCCCATCCCTGGCAGTGCTCAAGGCCAGGTTGGATGGGGCTTTGAGCAGCCTAGTCTAGTGGAATGTGTACCAGCCCATGACAGAGAGTTGGAGCTAGATGAGCTTCAAGGTACCCTTCCAACCCAAACCATTCTGTAATTCTACAATTCTATCATTGAATACCTGGCACTATATACAACACAACTTCACTGAGCTGTTCATCTGTCTAGTTACACTAGAGCAGATCTTCTACAAGAATAGTCAAGTCTTGATTTGACAGAAAAATCTATAACATCCCCAAGACAGTTGTTCTAGTGAAAAAAATGATCTTATTTCTAATGCAGTTCTGTTCTGTTCGATTTCCAGGCACTGGAACATAGCCTACCCTTGTCTGCAGAATTAAATTAAAAGAAATTTTTGCTGACTGCATAAAACTTTCACAGGGTTTTTTTCTAAACCAGTCCCCATTTCTCAGCATATTCTTTCAGAAGTGCCAACATCATGGGATCAGGGAGAGGGTTCTGGCTATCGCCATGTACAACAACCTTTCAATAAGTTACCTTGCTTAACGGCCATGAGGGAAAGTTTCCTGACCTGGTCACCATCAAGCTGTGAAAACGTGCTCTGTTTTCTCTCCGCTATATCCTTTCCTTATTTACTCTCCTGAAAATTCAGTAAGGTGTATTAATCTATGAAGACCTAGTGGTTAACCAACCTCTTGATGATATTAACCACTTGTTGCTTAAGTAAGATAAAAAATTATGAGTAATGAGTACTCTAAATCAGCATTAAAGGGCCCCACCTTTAAATTGCTCTCATAATTTTTACAGAAACTATGGACTTTCTTTCTTCCACAGGTTGATTAGCGCTGTATGAAGAACTGCCTCATGCAGCACTTGCTTAGTGATGCTCCAGGGTTCAAGACAGGACAACTAGCCTGAGTCAGACCTGTGATCCCTATAGCCCAAAGGCTTTTGCTGACAGAGGCTGCTCTACAAGGGGGCACAAGAGGGCCAACCCAGTTCAGGCCGTACACCCAACATCTGATCAGAGGCAGCAGATCTGAGACAGCAACAGCCACTGGTCCCAGCCTCAGGCCAGTGACCATCAGCCAAAGGCAAGTTAACAAGTCAGGTCCTAGGACAAACCTGGAAACCCAGACAATAATTCAGAAAGAGCAAGGTAGAGGGCAGCACGTGTAAACCTCCAAAATGGCTTGGATCAGGACTGCATGTGCAAGCTGGAGTTGAAATGGGGTTCTAGGGCTCATGGGCAGAGGTGGACATGGGTCCCAGGAGGGGCAGGTCAAGACCATCGATGCCCTCAAAGACCTGACAGGCAGTAGCCAAAGGAGGATGCTTACGGAAAGCATGAGTCAGCAGTACATACTCTACTACTTTCCCAATAGCCAGTTAGTTTCAAAATGCAAGAGAAGTCTTGAGGAGGACCAGAAGGCAAAGGCAGGCACCTAATGACCCACATGACTTTTTTACTTTCCTATAACTACCCTGTCTCTATTTAAATCTATGTATACAAAATTTCTTTGTGGGGATTTCTCAGGTGGCACACCTGCTGTGTGAAAAGACAACTTTGTTTTGAACCTCCTCTACTATCTCGGCTTGGTGCTTCCTAGTTCTTGTGATGGAGGAAGTGGTGAGCAACTGATCTTTAGCAACACTTCTCAAGCCACTTAGTGTTCTCCTTTTTTTATCTTTTTTTTCTACACCAACAGTCTTAATCTCTCTTGCTACCGGTCATCCTCGTAGTCTTATACATAACCATGCTTTCTCATAAGCTCTTTCATTCTCCAGGGATTATTCTTGGGATTATTCTTTTTATTCTTTTTCTCTCCACAATTTTTTTTTCCCCTGGGCCTTTCTGAGGTGTTTTTTACACTTTAAAGAGCCTTCAAAACTTTTTTTCTCTTCACCTATTCACTATTCAAGTCTGTGCAAACTTCTATCCCCATAATTCTATTATTGGTGAGATTAAACATTTCCTGTTCATTTATGCTATACTTGGTAGTTTTCAATATCCTCCTGTGCTCATCTTCTGTTAAACAAGTGTGCTCACTTTCTTCCTGTTTCTCAAGATTTTCAATAATGGTTCTCTACAATATTTTTAACGTACCCCTGTGGCTTAGCTACTTGTGAGTCTATGTACTATGGACTTCATAGCTTCTAGAGAGGACTAACTTTTTTTTCTTTCAGTGTTATGCAGAATTTAGTTAAGTAAGTTGTGTATTTTAAACAATCAAAACTGTGTTGTGACATCAACAGTCACACCAGCCAAAGTGGTAATGTCAGTGTTTTCTCTCAGATGATACTAATCATGTTGCTGTTTAAAAATATTACAATAGTACTTCAATTTTACTCACTAATTTGAGCACATCAAGGAGGAAACCTTTCATTATTCAGCCTATGTATTCTTTTTGATACATTCATACCATTTTTGTCTCTGTCTTTTGCAATTCCCCCAGATTACAGGTTCATATATAGCAATATCACAATGGCACAGACATGGGGTAGCTGTTCTGCTGCCTGTGACCTGAAGATGCTTCCTCCTATACTGGTGGTCCTTTCAAATACTGGGAGGGCCTGAGCTATAGATCAAATGCATTGTTTCCACAGTCTACTGATGTCATATTCTTGCCTTCTTCATTTGTTAGAATTCCTCAGTGTTTCCCTCCTGACATGATTATAAATGATTTTGCCTATAAGTAAGACATATAATTTGAGCGTTGCATTCTTTGATGGGAGGTAGAAGAGAAAATGTGCACTGGCTCACCCGGCTCAGGCTGGTTGCATATCTTATCATGTGACATGGCCTGGTACCCTGCCTTCTCCCGTATGTGCCAATTAGGGACCTTGCTATAAGATGAAAATGTATCAATACCATTTTTACATGGCATACAGCCTGTGAACATTTCTTAACAAGGCTGTGAGTCCCACTGTGGCCTCAAAGGCTGACATCAGTGTCTGAGAAATCTCAGCCAGTTCTTCTAACAGTGTCACCTTTTGAAAGGTGAAAATGAAAGGTATTTATTTACTTCTTTGACATCTCTCAATTGTGGTTTAATAACTTTAATTCTGAAAAGAAAAAATAAAATAATCCAGATTTGTTGACCTTTGTGAGACATTACCAGTTGCAGATTTAGTTTAAGATGAAGAATTCTGGTAGGAAGAACCTGACAGGTGCAAACCCCTTAGTGTTAAGACCATTTGTTCATCTATTATAATAAATTCAGAATATGTGCCTCTAGTCATACACTCATCCATTCATCCACATTACTACTTTGAGTATTAAAATAAAGTACTGCTCTCCAGTACCCCATTGTCTGTAGCCTCTGACACTCATCTGGATGGACAAAGCGCTGAGATAGGTGACTGGGTCTCCAGTATTCCAGGCCACTGTCAAAACACTCACCCACGTGGCAAATGATGGGTGGCACTGGTCCTTCCTCTGACAACTACATTTGCCCAGGTGGTGGCTTTAAATCCTTACCTGCTGCAGATATTTGGTGCTTAAGCAACATACTTCTTGGTATTCCTATCAAATGGATTAGGTAGTTCCCTAATTGCATACTGTAAACAGTTAACATTTATAAAGTTCAGTAAACCCCTTTCTTATACATCTGCCCTTCCTATCCATCCCATAGAAGAGGCTTCATATCTGCCTCTGATCTGCAAGCTCAGCCAGGTAGCAGGGTACCTACAGTCACTGCTGAGATGCAAGTGATGTCATATAAGGTTGCTTTTCCAATATTACGATGACAGGTGAAGACTACGTTTCATGTGCTCTAAAATTCTAATTGCTTTAAAGGATATTATTTGTAGTGGTGCTATCACTATCTTTTTCAGTGCAAGCATTCTTGAGATTTTGTTCCATGTTAGACAGCTCTCCATTGTATTCCCCATGCCAAATTTATTTAATGCCAAATTTATTTAATACCAAATATTGACAAACTGCAAAAATGATATATAAATTGATACTAGGATACATGTCTTAGATTCAGCTAGCAAATACAAATTAAAAGGAAAAGCCCCAGATCACCTGGTCTTTGATTTCTTTTTATTGTTCTCAAGCTGTCTTGTCATAGCTTTTTAAAAAGTAAATCATATGTATCTTGTATCATGGTGTTACTACATTGCATAAAATGCATGGAATTATTCAGTTCACTGAGTACTAGGAAGTAGCAAGAAACTGATGGAAACCTAAAAAAGCTCTGGTTTTATTCCAGTTTCCTTTGGACGATACTCTTGTGATCTATTTGACTGCAGTGACAACTTTTATTGCTGCAATTGTTGTGTCATAATAGAGCTACTTGAAAAAGAATCCCTAACTACAACATTTGATGTCCTACATGTTATGGGTTGAAATCACGGGATGTCCAGAGTCTGTAGCTGATTTGTCTTTCCAGCAAACCACTTTTCCCCTGCCCCATGCTGCACTGCTTGCAGGGGTGAGCTATGAGCAGGATATCCCTGCACCTTCCAGTTTGCCAACTCAGGTTTTGAGCACCAGCTCCTCATGGGCTGATACCATGGTAGAGATTGCTGTGCTGCAGCCTCGCCACTACCCAGCAGCAGCTGTTGCAGTTTGATGAGAAGGGATTGAGCTGAAGGGCAGCCATAGAACCAGCTTCTTGTCAGGGGCGAAAGCTGAACCTTCCCAGCCTTTACAAATCACCTCACTTGAGTGGTACCGACCGAGCAGGACAAACGGTGAGCAGTGTTTTCAGAGCTGTACATGTGCTAAAATGGTTGTCTTCTTTGCTTTTAGTGTTTACATGAAAATTACATGAAGGGGAATGTTTTCAGGGTGGATACTAAGATACTGCTTCACTGATGATGAATTTTTGCCTGGAACACCACTGACTGGGTAAAATCATGGTGGAGATCTCAGTCTTCCTAAAGCCTAGTCTCCTTTTCTGGCCAGTAAGTTGTCTGAATTAAATGGTCACTATTGACAAAATTAGTTTTCCTGCTCTTTGTCCCACGGGTGCCTCTCTCCCTGTTGGTTGAGAGGGTCTCATCTTGTGGAGAAGACTTTTTCCGGAGAACCCAAAGGACAGCAACACTGAAGAAAATGGATACCGTGCCCAACACCAAAGTCAGCCCCAGGTACACATACCTGAGAGAGAAATGATTCATCAGAGCCTATTTCAAAGGCTACATAAGACTAGAAGGCATCGAGGACACATTCATATTTTCATGCAGAAAGGCTGAGTATGAAGCTCCTCAAGCAAGGTGATGACCCTGGAGATGAGAGTTTGCCAGCTCATCCAGGTTAAGTATGGTGTGGTCTGTGGCTAAGAAAGTGTCTGCATTGACTGACCTCCTCCACCCCATTGTGCTTCAGTGAGAATAACATATTCCCAGGGCAATTAATCTATTTTTCAGTTGCCTCATAAACAGTACCAGTGATAACAGGACCATTTGATGGCATTTTTGCTTTACAGGCATAATGACAATAGCAACAACAGCAGCAACAATAACATCATTATGTTTTATTAGCTATGAGTCCCAGCTGAGCTTTTGTTCTTTTCTTCAGATTTTCAAAACAAGATGAACCCTCCCCTCATGTTTTTCTCCCGGGTGTAGGGGGAAGGGCAACCAGGTCTCTCATTTTCCTTTTACCATTGTTATTCCATTCTGCCTTTCTGGTAATGCCTTTTATGAACGCGGTTCAGATAATTAATCTCCTCTAGCAATAAACTGATAAAGACAACACTGTGCTTAAGCCTCTAGATAAGCCAAGCACACTTTGTGGCAACCTTGCCTTCTTCTAGAACATGAAGCAATGATGAGGCTTAGCAGCTCATTTACTTATTTACTTACATGCATGCACTCTCACAGCAGAGTTGTTCAAAAACAGGGGAAGCACTAGCATAACTTGAAGTTTTAACAATTTTTTGGGTGAAAAATCAAGTGACTTAAGTAATCTCTGGCTGATATTGAAATAAAATGACGCCCCCCTCCCTCAAAGAGACTAAACAAAAAAAGAATGCTAAAATCCGAGCACTACTGTTAATATTGCTGGTCAGCTAGTCAGAGTCTTTCATTTGGCAACAAATCTTTCACTCAATTTTTCTGAACAGAAACTATTCCACCAGTGCTAGATATAGATGTAAAGAACACAAGTTAAATAACAAATGGAGAAGAGCTGTTACCTGAGTGCACTGGAGTCATAGAGTTTGCACGCTCCTCTTCCCCCACATCTTTTGCTTCCCCATTTCAGGCAAGCGGTATCTATGGCCATTCCAAAATACACTGGGGCTGGAATTCCCGCTGGGTGTATTTAGTAAATAAATAGAGGCAAGAAGGTTACTTTCCAGGGTGATCAGTTCAGATCTAGAAACATGTTCATGTAGAACATCAAATAGTACATTCAAACAGCCACGATATTTCCACACTGTTTGCCTTGTGTTGCCCAGGCACAGACCGCCCTTTCCTCACTGTGGGGAATCAGGGTGGAGAGGAAACACAGCTGAACATCAAAAAGCCTGTGGAAGTCAGCGGAAGGAGTGCTGGCCATGGCTTGGCTTCCTTGCCCTGAAGGACCTCTGGATGGTGGAGGGGGAAAGGACATACTTCTTTCTTGAGGGCTATAGAGCTTGGGGGTGGGCGATGTCCTGTGTTGGTTCTGGGGCATGAGAAGGGAAAGGGGTAGCACATCTGAGAGCCTTCAATGGGGCTACAAGTATCCTGCAAGTATCATGAGACGCTATTGAGGCAGGGACAAAACTACTGCGGTGTTTGTGGGTGGTGGAAAAGAAAAACCTTATATCAGGTGTAACCTGGGGAGCCACCCATGGCTGCTGGAGAAAAAAAGTAAGCCTGGAGGGAAAATCCTGGTCTGCAAAGATGTGGGAAAGAAGTCAACAACTTGTTTTGATGTCTTTTCATCTGCCTCATCCACCTTATCTAAGTCTTCTCTATTTAAGTAAGTGACTTGCTTCTAGCTAGTTACTGCCTCTTCTATGATTACCTAGATGATCTTAGAGTTTCCAGTTCACAGGCATATCATGGTACCCTTGATTTTAGAATAAACTTATAGGTGATTCTACCACAAGGCTGCAGTGAACCCTGACCTCAGACATGCCTGTACTTAGATTAATTCCTTTAGAAACTAATGAAAATAGGCCTGAAAAATTGTCACAAATTCTGAGCCATAGCTGTTCTGTCATGCTTGTTGTTGAATAAGGAAAGCCAAGAAGTAATTTTGATGTTAACTTCATAGTCCAAAGGATCACTTGTCACCTCTACAGGCATTGTCCATGTATACTTTTATTATACCTCAGACACAGTTATACGATTGGTGCAATATAAAGCTGCTTCTTTTTCCTATTTTTTAATTAATCATGTAATAGTAACTTGTCAGACATCATTCTTTCCAATGGTCAAAATTTAATTTTAGGATAAAAAATTAGTGAGGAGTGTATTAAGATGATATACCCAAGAGTACAACTGGACTTACCAAGTACTCTTATTGCCAGGGTATAGATACCAAGTGCAAATGATTTCAAGTGTGGTTTAATGCATCTAAAAAAAAAAAAAAAAAAAGGTATTAAAGAAAAAGAAGGTATCAAAGGAAATAAAGAATTGACTGTGGATAATTTGGACACAAATAAAAAGCAAGAGGAAGGAAAGAAATGTCACTTTTTCCTCCTTATTGACACTGACATAACAGAATTACAGAAATGTGTAAATAATGTGATAAAATCAGAACAGTATCTACGAATCCTGAACATCTCTATTCAGTATCATATTTTAAGAATGTGGTGCATTTGCAAGTAATTCTTACACTTACGAGTTACTAACACAGGATAAGAAAATTGATTTTGAAATTGTGCATCATTGGATAGTCTTATTCAGTTAAACACTCTCTGAAAGTGGGGCTTATGACCCAGGCTAGTACAAGGTATTTAAGCACTTGGTTGCCATTGCACTATATCTAGGATCATGATCTCACCTCCCGTAAAGGTAAATCCTCCAAGCTATTCTCTGACACAACAGAATATTTGCATTTGGACTTTTCTGAGGTTGGAGCAGGCGTACAGCACAGACATCAGTGCTTCTGGTCCAGATCAGCTCTGCTGCAGGTTTGGTCATTGTCCTGGCTCTTCTAGGAGGGTAGAGGTAGCAGGCAGGAGCACAGCTGCTTCTCATATACATGGTAGCAGCAATGTGTGTAAGGAACCACTCAAATCAGTATGATTCATTTGCTGCCAACCTCACCAGCTGCTCAAGCATGCTGTTTCACTCAGCATGTATCAGACTGCCTATTATAATAACTAACACAACAAGAACCTGAGTACATGCTTTACTTTCAGCATGTGAGTAGTTCTAGTCACACAGTTAAACTGGGACATGCTTGATATGTGGGGTGAGTAACACAGGTATATCATTATGGTAATAGATGAAACTGCCTGTTGTCACATTCATTCTATCAATATAAAAAGAAAAAATATGGGCTGAAATTCAGTATTCGCTATGCAGAAACAACATTTTGGATGTCAGTATACTTTGAACTAGGAAGGACTCAGCTTCAGCAGAAATTCATGTAACCAGGAATGCGTTTTAAAAAATAATAAAGACATTGCAGAACTAGCTCTGTTTTTTATCCCACCAGTGATGTTATATTATTTCCCAATGTAGCTGCCAGAGCAGCATTAAGAACCCATATTGTAAATTATGTTTGGGTCATCTTCCTTTAATTTAGTGAAAATAGGAAAGGACAAGAAGGAAAATATGGAAAAGAACACCAAAGTAGCATGATCCAAAGTTGCTGTGCACAACTCATTTTGTAATTGGAGTACTTTATTCTCTCCTGCCATGATGATGGCCATCATATAGTCTGTTCTAGTATGTTTGATATGGGCACTGCCACCTATGCAGGCATGAACGTAGTATGATTTTGAGCTGGAAGAACAGTGTTTTGCCCTTCTATCAATCAGATTCATGCTACACAAACAAGTCTCAGTCTGGAAGTTGGTTTAGACAAATGTGAAAGCATAGAAAGCAAAAACTGGAAAATAAAACCAACATTTATTGGGTTTGGGATATTGGGATATTTATTATGTGTTCCACAGGATTCATATCCTGAAAATAATAACATCTTCTCTTTCAGATGGAAAGAAGAATTTGACCATTTGTATTGTCTTTGCACTGAAACACACATTCTTTGAGATCCTGAGTAAGAGCAAAACATCTCAGGGAGATCTGAGACTTCATTTTCCCTGCTTAATCACTTGCTATTAATAGCTCATACTTGAACAACAGCTATCTGAATTGCAGGAGTTTTTCTCCAAAACATCAGGGCTATCCTAAGTTTCTTGGCAATTTTAATTAGTCTAATACCACTAAAAAGATATTTCAGCAAATGACTCGGTCACCAGCTATAAACATATTTCAATTAATTCAGTCATGTAACCCTTGAAGTAAATGTCACTAAATCTTACAGGCTTTTAGGGATTTAGCTGTATTTGTGCTTCATGGCAGGTGCAACAATATTTGCTCCTCTGAAAACATAAGCTTGTTTAAGTGCTGGAATCTTATCGGAGCTGACTAAACACTGAATAATTTTAAAAATAGATCATTGGAAAAAATACTTAATGAAGTCTGCAACTTGACCTTGGGGCTATTTGTTTTCAAAGAGTATTTTTTTTCTTTCTGGGAACAGAAGCACATTTTCAGTTCAAGCAGATTTTCAGGGGAAGTCAGTCAGTGATGGATTTCAGAAAAGCAAGATGTGAGCTTAAGGTGGAATTGTGCCCATAGGTTTTTCATCTGAACTTACTGAAACATGTTTTATTTAGCTGCACATCAGATTTGGGTGCCTTCAATCAAGCAGAAAAACACATAACTTCTCAGTTTCAGTTAAATGGATCTCGAAGCAGAATGATTTTCAACAGAAATAAATGCTCTGGAGTAGAACCAATAAAGCTGTTTTGCTGACTTCGTATAACAAAAGGTTTTAGTATCATTACTGAAAACATCTCTAAGCTTTTCTAAATAAATCAATTAAAAACTAAGTCCCCTGAAAGCAAGTTCTTAGGGTTGAGAAGTGCAGGCGACTCTGAGTGATTTAAGCTCATAGGTGTTCAACTATGAATGTCTCCTCCCAGACACTTCTGCAGTGGAGACAAATTGGAAAGCAGGAGCATGGCTATGATGGTTTCGAGGTCCTGTGTCATACCATGTCAGTACATTTGCTACCATGTTTTATAGGCAGAAGGGGGACATCATGTGGAGGGAAAGGGAAGGAAACTGCATCCCTGCATAGCCCTATGGCCATATTTATACAACAAAAAAACCCCCGTGTGTCAGAAGCCATCACAGAGGGTAATCTTGTGGAAATTCTGAAGGTTTTGCTACGAGCTTTCAACTTTTGAATCATCCTCCTATTGGTGCATGAACAGTTTGAGTGGTGCATAAAATTTACTAAAAATTGTCTAAAATGGGTTATAATATGATTGTTTATATTGTATTAGGGAGAGGGAGAGATGCCATGTGTTTTTGCAGTATTCAATGGAATCCCTATGAAGTGGGTGAAGAAAGCTATGCAGCTTATATAGTTTGAGGCATATACCTCACTCGCAGTGTTTGTGAAGGGCAGTGGAAAATGATCCTCACCTCAACCATTTCTGACAGTCTCTCTGTGAGTATTAATTCTGGTTCAAGTACTGTGCTAGAACCATAGCTGAAGTTACATTTCTTTATTTAGGTTTTTCCATGAACCCTATATTCAGCCAGTTCTAGCACTGGCTTTTTCTATGTGACATAAAGACACTGGCAATGATACAGGACCTGTTCCATAAAATTTCATTTGAAAACAAAGAGAATTTTGGGGTAAGAAAACACAACAATAATAAAGATTAGCTAAGCTGTATTTACTGCTGTTTTGTTTGAGAAGTAGAATGTACCCATCTGGAAATAATTTGGAAAGAGGAACTGAGAAAGAAAGCTTTCCAAAACAAAGCAGAGCAGCGCTTAGAATCCAAAAACTACAAGAAGCTGACAGAAATCCAGATTAATAGCTGGAAGTATTAAATTCATTTTGCAGTTTCTAAAATTAGTTTCAAAACTTCCACTTGGTGATGGACAAATAGTTCCAGCAGTTAAATACAGATTGGAACAATTCCTTGGGACAAGCATTTAATAAACCTGTGATTATTACAACAGAAAAAAAAAAATAAAATTGCATGCTACATCTATCTTCGTTTTGAAGAGAGAAATTTGGGAGAGAACAATTATATGGAATAATAAAATGGGCCAGAGGAGAAGAGCTGAGTGTATATAGGGGGCTTGGGTTACACCACCTCTTTGTAACTGTGCATTAGTATCCATAGCAAGTGGGGAAAACTGGCTATCTGTAAGCATATATGTACACACACTGGCATGTGCAGAGCTAATTTCCATTTGCATGGAGGCTGTTTAACACCATTCTGGTAATGTAAAAGGCATCAAGGGAACTGTAATTTGATATAAATAATAACCAGGCCTCCTGTATCATGTTTAAAACCAGAAAGGTATTGCTGGCAGAGGTAGTCATAAGCATATTGTTGCTTCAGTGGTAGAAAATTCATTGTCGAAGTATGATACTTTTGAATAGTAAAAAATATTTTAAAAGCCACCTTGTGTAGCTCAAAATATTTCACAATAGGGAGGAAGGAGACCCAGTTACACAAGTCAAAACATCTTGAAAACACTTGACAATGCTGGCAGAAATGAGGTCTTACCTTAGAAGCAGTATGTATCCAGGTGTGCCACCTACTGACAAAGTATATGAAGTGATAACAGATATTACTAGAAAATACAGAAACATTTTTGGACACTCATTTCCTTTTTGACATAGTCCCACCACAGCTGAGGAGCTTTGTGAAGGAGATTCCAAGGTTCCCACGCAGGTGCAGTTAAAAAATACCTGGAAGACAGCAGGTAAATGCGTATGGTAACTGAAACAGTGGAGAAACGGATGTTCAGGAATTACACATCATGCATCTCTGGGTAGCTGAAAGTTTAAATCCAAATTGGAAAGTATTTTTCAAAAGGAAAAGGCTTGTTCATTGAAGAAGACATTTATAAAGAAAGTATCTACTGTTGATGAATGTATTTAGTTGGCCTTTAAAATTGTTTTGGTAGCCAACAGCTAAAAAAAACCCCAAACCCTCCTAAATTCTGTTCTTGGGACTTCTGCTGGAAACAGCAGTTAAGAAAGTTTTAAATGTTGGTAGCAGATTGCTAGAAAAACCTGATGAATTTAGGGCTGCAAAGGACACGCCCTACTCAATTTTAATGCACTATGACACAACTGGTTGTATTAGGAAAATTACAACATCACATATGGAAATGAGAATTTGTCTTACGGTGTGTTCCCCACTGCCATTGGATGCGTGGCAGCCAGCGAGGCAAGCAGAAATGTAGGTAACTCCATTTTCCCCACAGATGGGGTCCCAGTCGTTCTTGGAACATGCGCAGCCCGAGTTGCACTCTGAGTACAGGGCTTGCTCATAATCAGTCATTTGTTTAGCTCTGGGGAAAAAGAGAAATTGCAAAGGTATTTTCTAGCAGATATGGAAGAAATCATTATCAAATCATGGGGTATGCTCTCTGCCAGGCACACCTGGCCAGACCTTCTGTCTGTAGCCCATTAAGGTGTCTCTTTACATCCATGCAGTAATGTAAATTCTTTTTTCTCCATTATAAAAAGGCTTTCACAATATCACACCTACTGTGACATAGTAGCTACCTTATTAAGGGGGACAGTTAACAATTTCTATTCATACATTTTCACAGATTTTCTAAGATTTTAGTTGTCAGAGGCTTGATGCAGTTTTAACAAAACTGGACAAAAAGGTTTGCTTATTCCAGTGGCGAAGAGGGGAGTGAGTTACTCATGGAAAACAGTCACTTTAGAAGTTAGTTAGGAAATTATCAGCATTGGATTCATCCAAACTGAAGATCTTATATCTTGCTGCTGAAGTTGCCAGTGGAGCAGCTCCTGGGGCTGCTGTGGAGTAAGTGCTGGAAACTCCTCCCCAAAAGTGAGCTTTACAGACTAATAGCATGGGTAAAAGTGACCAGAAAGTACCAGCCTTACATGTACCTCATGGTTAATATAATGGTTAACTCATGGTAATCGATGAATCCTTAAGTTTTGGGTTCAGAGGCTATTAAATGCCACAGGTTGTTCAGCACAGAGGCAAGGAACAATTAATTGAATCTCACCTCCCCTTCTAAGCTCTTCACATTTCCAGAAATCTCTAGGTTGACAGGATGGTCCCATGGCAATAATAATTAAAAAGTAATCAGAAAAGTAATCTGCACTTGTGGTATAAACCCCTGCGGGCTAAAGGCAACAATCACAAAAGGGTTCTGACACAATACCCACTAGAACACATGGAGCGGCTTCCACCGCTTTGAATCAAATTTCTGGGAAGCATATTTAGGTCAGTCATTCTCTTTTCAGCAATATGTACTTTGTGGAATAAAATCAGGAAGGAGTTGGGTTTGCAATAGCACTTTATGCTGAAGCATGTCTTTCCCAGCATACCCATGGTATGACACGGTCAGTCCAGCCACATCTGAGTTCTCACAGCCCATTGCAAATAATGACAGGAGCAAAAGGTAACCGAAGAAAGATGATCCCAGGGAGAGTTTTGCAGCCCCTAAAACATTGATTCTGAATTTTTTCATGATCAGTCCTCCAGAGAATATGCCAAAGGCCACAGCAGGGATGTTGATAAGACCTGAAATCAAACAGTAAAATCTGTATTAATGAAACCTACAGCTCAGTGGACTATCTCCTCAGCCGCAAAAACAACAGTAGCAATAAGATGAAGCAACAAAATAAGGAAGATGGGGCATTTCGTATTATTACTTAGATTATTCCCAAGAAGGTGCTGGAACTGCTTGTTAAAACTTGCTCCTGGAGAAATGTTTCTTTGCTAATTCTTTGAAAGAGAGATGGTGTATAAGGTTTAGATAACGATTGTCCAATTTCTTAAGCTAGGTAGTTTTCTCCACTGTTAGTTGTCAGTGGAGGGATCAACGTAGTGTTAATTCAAATACATTTGGTGTTATTTCTCACAGTAACCTCCCTGGGCACAGAGAAGTTACCTGGGGTATCGTGCTGCTTAAGGCAGCTAAGACAGTCACAGTCCCACCGCACAGTTTGAGACTTTCCTGTGTCCTTCACCCATACAGCAACAGTAGGAGCAACAGGGTCCATGCTCTGAGGCTGTCCCACTCCAATTTTCCAGGGCAGGTCCTTTCCTTTTCCACTGACAGGAGGAGCCTGAACTGCTCATTCCTAGAGGGCAAATTCAGTTTTATCTACAGTGTTATAAAATCTGGAGCAAGACCTGCTTTTTGTGTTTTGATTCAGCCATGAATCAATAATCCCCTAGAGAAGTCTTTAAGAGGGAGAAAGGCAGTGGTATGTCATCACCTCCGTGCCCAGGACAGGTAGAGTTCTCTGGGTTTGGTTGTTGAAAGGCTCCCTTAGGTGAATGCTGCTACAGCAGAAAGATAGGTATAACCCCATGGACACTCTTGTACCAGGCATCAGGCAATCAAGTGAAAAAGCATTGAAGAAAACATGTAAAATTGGGTGACCGTTAATCCTTCCTTACCTGGACAGCTTTGCTTAAAGCAGTGTCCATATCGATAGACATGGACAACAAGAATGAAAAAAATCCCATTCATTACATGCAAAAAAGGTGTAAATAGAAACCACTGTAAGTGATACTGCTCAGACAAGCAAGGTGCCCTTTGCTGGATTTCATTGTTACTGAAAATGATTTTCCCAGCTTTACCAGCCAGTTCCAGCACATCAGATTTCCCCTTGTGCAGGGCTATGTGTGCGGTTTGCAGCTTTTATTTCATGCTGACACCTAGTGGTGCTGAGAACCAAAGGCATTACAACATGATTTCAAATGAGTTGCTATAAAACACTAGCCTATGACATTAGAGTCTAATCTACATACTAGAAGCTCAGTGGAATCTATTTTGAGCCAGTATTTGATCAGCCTGTACACATGTTAAAAAATAGTGGTTAGAAGAGATGTTAGCAGGTATGTTTGATGTTAGAAAAAGCCTTATTATATCTCTCTGGCAAACCCAGGAGTCAGTATCTTGGCTAACTACATGAGACCAGTTCAGTTACTGACAAGGTTCAGGAAGCTTCACTAGGGTGGCACTTTTCACTGTACACATACATGAAAATTGTACTTCAGGGGATTTAGAAGCAGGATCTGAAATGTAGCATATGTAAATTAAGAGCCACCATGTACCAGGTTTCTCTTTTGCTTGTAAAACAGGAATGGGATTGGAACTGTGAGCTGTGTGATGCACTGGAGAGTACCCACAGTCTGCCTGCCCATTCCTATGCTGTCATGATCATTGCAGGGGGTTGGACTAGATGATCTTTGAAGGTCCCTTCCAACTCAAACTATTCTGTGATTCTATGCATTGCTTTTGACCATGCCTTTGCCTCACAGCCTTACAGATAACTCCATTGCCTGACACTGGCATAAGGATTGGGAGGTGGGGGGAAGTGTGTATATTTAAGGAAAATCATACAAGCACAGCAGGAACCACTTTACTTTCTTGCACAGTCCTTGGGTTGTGACGACTGAAAAATACCCTCTTATGACCTCCACTGATTTTTTTTTAATGGTGCTTCAAATTTATCTGACAATTCTGCTATCTAGCAGCAAGATTGTGCTAGAAATTGTTAAAAAGAGGTAGGGAATGGGAAATAGACATTGTTAGTTCTAGTCAGCCCCCAGCTTTCATAGCAAGGGTGAATCTGGGGAGAAGGAAAATGATTCAGCCAGGATCCTTCCCTAGCCAAGCCTAGCCAAGCCATCTGACATCCTCTGCTGGATATAGTCCCTATGCTTTCTGAATTCAGATGGATCTTAATCCTCACTCAATTTGCACATACCTGAAAGCTTAGTTCCAGAAAATCTTTAAATACAACGAGAAGTACTATACTGAATGTAGGAATTGTTTTCTGGACTTTCTCTGGCCATTGACTATGCTTGAAGGTTTCTCCTTGCTTTGAGGAGTTTTGTGCCAGGAAATTCCAGCTTTTATCTTTAAGGAATTAACATAGCACAATGGATCCATACAGCTTTTCTGCATATATACACCTCTGTTGCTGTGCAACTAATGCTGCTCTAAATCAAGGCAATTCCCTCTGTATTGGATAGATGTAAACCTCTTTGCTGTCTAATGCTATTGAATCCCCCGAGCTCAGAAACTGAACCCAAGTCTGCATGAAGGTTCAGAAACTGGGCTGTCAAGGTCACCATCCTGAAGACATCTGCAAAAGTGGCCACACTGGTACCAAAAGGCAGAAGCAGTGTCCCTCTTGAGCTCTATGGAAGAGCTTGAGAGACTAACTAACTTCACAACAGAGAAAGGCTCTTAGGTAAAGTTAGGGCAGAAATACCTATTTTGCTTTTACCAGCATCTCACTGAGATAATGTTTGGGTTTTAATGAGTGTATTGTGTGATCACTGATATGACTTTGGACTTTCTTTTATTTAACATCAACCTCCTCAGAAAGTAAGAAACCACTGACAATACCACAGCTACTTTATGATCAGTCCTTTACCACTGAGCTGATCTTCATTTAATTGAAATAAATGAGAAGGGAACACGTCTATCTGATAACAAATTTATGTAAAGTGTTTTAAAACTAATTATCTTCTCAGTTATTCTCTTGTGCTGCACATACATTATTTTTCAAATTTCCTGTAAGATAGGAAATAAGGCATCAAATAATGTAATCTTGCATAGATAAACTGAGAGATAACTAGTGCTAAAGCAGAAATTAAATAACTTACCTTCTATAAGCTATTACTTAAAGACAGACAAGTAAGGAGAAGAAATAAACATATCCTAAAAAAAAATCCAATTTTCTTACATATATGTATATGCCATTCCTAAAATGTCCATTTTTAAGACACCAAGAAGTAGATATAGCATTACCTATAACAAAATTAGTTTGTGAAGATGTTCGCCCATATTGCTGTTCAATATACTTTGGCTTATATGTCACCATGCCAATTAAAGAATTGAACTGAATGATACTTGCACACAAATACAGAATGTAAACTGGATTCCCAAAGAGGTTCTTCAGTGATGGCAAGAAGTCTGCAAGACAAAACAGCAGAAATTACAACAAGGCCAAAGAGAGAACAACTGCTGTCAATAACGCTTCGCAATGTGTTTGCACCTTTCAAAGAAGGACTGCAGAACATTTCAGAAGAAATTCATGAACTTCCATGATGCTCCTAAGAGCTCCTCCAATTCTGGATGGGGGAACAGAGGAGCAAAAGACTATGCATCAATATCCTGGAAGACATACCTTGTTCTATGTATCTTCTTTTGATCTGGTTGGACCTGATGATCCTTGAGGTCCTTTCCAACCTGGTATTCTATGACTCTATGACAAACCAGGACTGATATGGTTTCTATGTGTCCTCAATAGCCACAGCATCTTTTAGCTTAACCTGGGGGCAGAGAGTTCTCAGCACAGCTGACACTAAGCACAGACATACTGAGCTACAGATTCAAGCACTGAGGGAAAATACTTTTGGTAAAGCAGGGCCAAAGAAATGCAGTTGTGCAAAACAGCTTGTGTCTAAAATCCAGATAGCTTCCTAAATACTCTATCTAGTCTGTGGCCATCTTTATTCTGATCAGATATTGTATGTGTTTTTCGAATGAATGATCTTAAAGAAAAAGGCTTAGCAAAACTTGAGATTTTTTTGAGCCTGCCTTCTGCAACAGTCTGTATCTGTGAATGAAAGATTTTTTGCAGAGTTTCATGATATTTGCTGGACTACTAACATAATTTTGCAAATCTCAGCTGGAGAAATTCTGTATGCAAGAGCAGGTCCCACAATGAACAATGAAAAGATCATTATTGTGCACACTGGTTAGGTGGAGAGTGACACCTGAAGGAAAATAGGAATTCTTAGGCCATTAAAATATGGCCTCAGAAAGTATAAGGTTTTAAAGTACAAATTCAGTGAGAAAAAGACTCAATAGTCAAGAAATAAACTCTAGTGTCTTGCCTTCCATCTCAGCAATCTTCACATTTTGCTGATAAGATTTTTGATGGTCCTTGTTATCCTCAGTGATGAACTCTGACTGCTCAGAAGAGGTACTGGAGTCCTTCCTGCCCTCTGGTTTTGGGAGGTGCTTGGGCAGGAACCAGAAGGGGATGCCAGCCAGAACACTAATCACACCTGCTATTAAGTAGCCCAGCCACCAGGCTCCCACCCACTGCACATCCTTGTGAGTTATTGTTACACTGTCTGGAGAAAGACAAAAAAAGGATAAACATATAAATGCTTTCTGAGATTGTTTGTTGATGACGAGGGAGGGGATTTTGCAGGGACTTTCTCCAGAGGAGTCCACCCCCACCTCTCCAGGTTTAGCTGTGCTGTGTGTCTATCGGTGTTACAGGAGCAACTGTGGGAAGGTGGTAAGGACTTGCTTATTTCTGGTGACACAGCAGCAGCCTTTCCCTGACACCGCAGGGTTCCCAGCCATGACGGTCACATGTCCCCAGGAAGGCTGCAAGGGTCTACATGGGGTAGCCCAGGTGGCCACATACTTGCTTCCAGTCAGGCTGCTCTGCACAAAAGTGCCAGAGTAAAATGGGGTGGAAGTTTTCTCAGGAGGAGGGCAATCAGGAGTTCTGGTACCCATTGCAAGACTGCTTTTCTAGGCAATGATATTGTACTACAAAATGCACACAGAGCTCTTGGCAGGATCTTGAGCCTCAGTCCTGCCTCCTCCTGGTGACATGGTTTAGTGGTGGACTTAGCAGTCCTGGGGTAATGGTTGGACTAGAAGATCTTAAAGGTCTTTTCCAACTTAGTTGATTCTATGATTCTATGGTGCCTGGTGTCCCCCCAGAGACTCCTCACCAGAGTATCTGCTGGGGGGCACCAGCCTCAGATCTGCTGGGCCTGAGGAAGCATCAGGCCTCCTACTTCCTCCACACCCATCTTTCTTACTGACCTTTTCTGTGTGGGGCATTGCATTGCTACTATCCCTATTTCATTAAGTGCCTGCTCTGTCCCTGCTAGCCCCTTAAGCCTGGAAGATAACTAGATAGTTCTTGGCCTAAAATAGGCATTTTGGAGCCTGACTGAATTTTTAAAACTAGAGTTTTCTGACTTACCCAGATCTACAAAGCCAATGTCAACATAAAGTTTGGCACACAGGGATCCTAGAAGAAAGCCAAATATTGGCCCTATAATTGCAACTGTCTGTACGCAGCCTGCAATAGAAAACAGGGGACTGTTACACTCTGGGTCAAAAATAGCACTGGGTCTTGCTGCACCTAACAGCGAAGTATGACATATCATGGCTAACAAGTGTTAGTCTTAAAATACTAAGCCAACCTTCTGCTCTCTGGCACATTAGTTACATCAATTTTTCAAGAAGAAAAAGCCAACAATAAAATTTCCCCCATTATGCTCACACTTCAACTTTTTGCTGTCATCCAATTAAAGAATGAAATTCAGCCCAAAATAAAAAATAAGTTAGGGAGCTTAATGGCCTAAACTCATTAGCACGACCAGTCTAGAACTGCTAGAAACAATTTAGCTGACCAGATTAAAATAACTGGAAAGCAAATGACAGTTATTTAAGTTACTCATCACTTTAAGCGATGGTGGGCCCTGAATAGGCTGAAAAAATCACTTTGCTTTGGTGCCCAATATTAACCTCTTTCAGTACACCTTCAGCCAAATCTTCTGACCATTTGAATTTTCAAAATTGATTTGGAGATCTGGGAAGACTGAACTTTTTTCAGAGGACCTGAGTTTTTGCCTTTTGCCAGGCTGCAAACTTGTCAAGACAACATGCTGATGGGGGAGGAGTTTTTGGTAATATTTCACATGAATGTGCAGAGGTCTTCAGACAATAAACACAACAAGAAAACAGTGATATCAACTTTTTAAAGCCTCGGTATTTAAAGCCTTATTGTTTATAATTCTACCTGAAGCTGGAGGGAATGTTTTGAGTGCCTGACGAAATTCTGTTTTAAGTGTTCAAAAGAATACATGTTTTTTACCACTTTCCAGAGAACTGAATGTGCACAGAGGCTCAGCAGTCCACATCCAGAAGAATTAGGAAGATTAGGGTAACAGCAGGAAGCTAAGGTCAAATTCTTTCCTCAAATTAAGATAGTGGAACTGTGCTGCTATAATTAAATGGGAACTTGGTCCCTTGAGTGTATAAGACTGTTAAATAAACTTTAATATTGGAAATTATGCAAACCAAACAATCAGGGCAAGTTAATTCAGTAACACACATTCCACTATTCAGAATCACTCACGTTCCTCTGGTGTAAAATCCATTAGGAAAAAATATATTTATTTTACCAATGTATAAGGCAGCATTTTCTTCAATGGTGTAATCATCAATGTATGTAATTCCCAAAGGCTGGATAGGAGTTTCACCTATTCCACGCAGAAGATTTCCCAGTAAAACATAGATCCACATGGAAGATCCTCCTTTTTCACATCCTGGGTACATCACAAGAGAGACAACAATGATGTTTTTCGTAACAGTGTGGCACTGAATGCACAGGACTTCCAAGATACTTCTAATGTGGGAAAACCAGTATGAAAACTGTGCAAAATGTTTTGTGGGGTGTAGGGATGGCAACTTTAACCCAATCAGCTTGAAGAAGACACACTTTTAGCATGAACTGCTTAATTCAAAGATATTAGAAGTTGGTTAGTTTTATAAATTTATCACCACATCCTATTTTAAAAAACTTTTTCACTTCTTTCTAACCAAAACTGGGATCTCTTGATGGAAAGATTTGGGAAACATTGAAGATAGTGAGCACTACCAGCCACATTTAATCCACAGGTATAAGGATGCAAACATGTACTTGGTTTGTGACATACAGAGAGTTTGATTTGCTCATCCACAGCTTATTCACAGTCAGGCTCCTTGCCCACGAGGAGCTCAAAGTACCCAGAGGGGAGACAGCTTTGTGGTGTGCAAAAAGGGGTCATGGGCAAGGAGAGAAACAAGAAGTGGGGTTTTGCAGGTTGGGAGACCCAAGCAGCTCTTTCCAGTGGGCCGAGGATCAAAAAGCACAATCCTGGCAGAGGGAAGACCATGACTTTCCAAGGTACCCGTGGGAGATCGATGTTTCTGCAAGCCACAACGCTGCAGAAAGTTGCTGTAGGAGACAGCAAGGCTGGAGGAAAGGCTGCAGTCTGAAAAAATCTCCTGGCAGTGGTCAGTGGCAGTTATGTATTTATTTTTAATAATTTGCCTCAACCAGTAGATCTGGATTTTCTGTGAGGAAGATTCATCTTATTCCTTTTTCTTTTCTTTTACTTTCAAATAAACTATTGCATGAGAGTTTGTGAGACTTTCAATATATTCTAGTATGCTTATCACAATATTTGACACAGATCATTCCAGATCATTCTCACCTGCATTTATTTTTGCTTGAGGTTTTTCCAAGGCAGAGAGCAGAGTTTGGCTTTTGTCCTTCAGACATGGAGAGATGCTAACAGTTGAATTGATGATGGAAGGGAATCTTTCATACTCATATCTGTTTATAAACCAAAGTTATTTTTTACTGTCCCAGCTTACAAGAAAAAGCAAACATGTGTTATGACCATGGAAGATAGGCACTTAAACGAAAATTTCATCCACATCCAGTGTTGCCAGTGATGGTTTACAGGCAATAAGTGGAACTCAGTTTATACTGTGTTAGTACATTAAAATTGTTGCTTTGGTTCTCTTTGTGTCACAGTGATGCATTTCAGTGTAACTGGCACTTGGCTCTGCTATGGTGCATGAATCTGTACTGAGAGATTACCAGACAGTGGGTGTACCCTCTGGCTTGTGTTTGAAACTCAGATTGTCTTCCTGAGTTTAGTCATCACTTCACCACTGAAGCCTCCACAATTCTTAAACTGTGTCAAAATGTGGCCAATCAAGATCACAGACTAATTAAACGATGTGATTACAACCGAGTATAGCTTATATGTTAAATTATTTGCTCTACAGTAATTACTCTTTTCACAAAAAAATGTTGAGTAACCACATCCACGTATGCCTATTTCTATGGGCATCTTTACAATCAATGCCTAAATATTTTAGTGAGCTAATATTCAATGTGCATAGCCCAGTTGGAAAATACCAATCACTGCACTTACCGTCCCATAAAGAACTGGGGCATCGCAATTAGGAATGTTCCAGCTGACATAATTAAGCAGCCTGCTCCAATTATTCTTGGCCTGTGAAGCTTCGCTCCAAAGTAGCTTACAAGAATTATGATTAGGAGGTTCCCTTTGAGAGTACAAAAGGAAAACTGAGTTTTATGGCTTGTTGGTAGGAGATACCCTAAAATAACAATTCCTAGTGAATGGTATAGGCAGTGATCTCAGGGGAGAGGACTGATTGAATGGGATTGGTGTGTCTCCCTCATTCTAGGCATTCTTACAAAAGTCTAATGCCTTCCATGATAAGAAAACCATAAACTTTTGGATAAACAGCTAGAAATGAGAAGGACATGCCAGCGGAAGAGAACGAACAGCCAGGAAAAGAGGGAATCAAACAGACCTTTATACACTTAGGCTAAGATTTAATTCCCACAAGTACCACAGTCCATTAGACACCCATGAGATAAATTCAGTAAACTGAAATTGTAAGATTCAGTGTAATTTTGGAAACATTAGTGCAAGAAGGAAGGGAATGGATTGGACAATGAATGTTGATTACAGTTAGAGGTTTGCATCCTTCCTCCTTAATAAATCAAGAAAGGCAAACACTTGGGGGGGGAGGGGGGAGGGAGGGGCTGGACTGATGACAAAAGAAGACAGAAAGTGGGAATCCGTACAGGTAAATTCTTATTCAACAGCCCAAAGTTCTATTAGCATTATTTGCCAAACTAGGCTTATCACAGTACAAAATATTTCGATCTATGTTGAACTACTGCTTGTATAAGCAACCCTATCCTATCAAAAAAAATCATATTGGCAGTCATGCTGGCCTTTACTAGGTGAATCTTGCTCAGTTTTAATGGTTCAAGGAGATTTATACAATCATTTTCATAACAAATTGCATCCGTGGGTTTTTTTTCTGAAAGCAAAAATATGTTCTACAGCACATACCAATTTCAAAACTGCCATCAATAACTCCAACCAAAGAGGAAGGGATATCAAATCTTCTTTCTATTTGTGTTATAGTACTTTTTAGATAACTTCCTGACAGTGCTTTAGCAAAATAAACAAAAGACAATGCGCCAAGAAATACCTGTGAAAGAAATTGACAGTGATTAAAATCAGGCAGTACACAGAAAGCTTTACTTTACGAATTATTTTTAAACAAGTTTTACAACCCCAACTCTTCTTTTTCCAACTATCCATGACAATATTTCTCCTACTTTTTAAGAATACTAGATTGCTAATTTGACCATTACTAATGAGCAATAATGATGTAAACTGAACTTGCTGTCAGCCACTGCATATTTCAGGTAGATGCCAAAAGTACTGATGCTTTGAAAGATAGAGACATATAACATCTCCCTGGTCTCTCTAAAGAGGGGGTATCTTACACAATGACAATAAGGGTACATGTTAAGTATGGCTTAGTGGAGAAGTGATATTTTTCGGCATTTTTTAATATAGCCTTTTGCAATCAGATGGATTTTAGAGCCCTGTTCTGGTAAGCTGTTTCCACTGAAGCCCAGGGTGACCAGGAGAGAGAAGTCTCTGTCTCCTGTTACATGAGTCCATGAGTCGAACAATGACCTGCCAAGAAATTCTCTTCTAGGCTCATCCTTTCCCCACCAGATCTCTTGCAAGCTCTAATACATACATTTTCTTTTGAGTGCACACTGCATTTTTCTGGGGAAGAACCTTCTCTCATCCTTTTATTTTGCCAAGGCGGTTATTTTCTGTTAGTTATCACTGTACCTGTTTTAGTGTGTTAGTCTGAATCAGGAGTGGGCTTTGGAAATGAAACTCCCCACTCCCTTCTCTGTGCTTTGGGTGCTTTGGTCATACTGCAAATGTGCAGACTGAATCCCTTTTACACAAAAAATGAAACTGGAAGATGTGTTCCATAAGGGCGTTATGTTCACTTCAATAGCTCTTCAGTCTCTGAGACAAGACTAGAGCTGATCTGAAGTAACTCCCCACCCTGAAACGTATACAGTGGGAGTGCAAGATCCTGCAGAGTTATTGCCTAAATTTGCCTTCACTGAATGCAGCCTTTCTGAGTTTATGAGCTCCAGAGATACACATTGTGCAATGGTCATGGGAATCACAACATTGCTTTTTACCTACAGATACAGGTTGAATATCTAGGGATGCTCTAGATCTAAAAAATCAAAATTTTTTTGCAAGAAATTTTTTTTCTCTAAAAATTAAAAAAACCAACCCCAAACCCTAAACCAGAAATAAAAAGACACAATAATATTTCATATTAAGAGAGGCCTAGATCCCTGTCCTACTCCTTAGGTCTGCTCTCTGAGCAATCACACTAATCACACAGTAACTAAGCAGGTGCTCTGAAGTAATGTACTCACCTCCAGTGCAATACTCCTTACAACACCTCATTTGACAAGGCACATAAGTAATAACACTGGCAGCACTGTTGAACGCAAATTCTTGTGTTAAGGTTCGAAAGTGTTTCTATGTCACATCGAAAGTGTTTCTATGTCACATTCAACAGACTTGACTTTATCCAGTGCTGCTTATTCCTGCTTCCGAAAGACTTGTGGATAAACAAACACTATCTGGTTCTTATTTCTTACAGTGAGGGCTCTCAAAAAGCTCTCTAGTAAAAATATTGCCATGATATTTTACATTTTCTGTGTGTTTATGCCGTTGGATTTTAAATAGCAATGTAAAAGCAAATATGATTTTTCACAGGAGAATCATGTAGCTCAAACTAGAACTTCAAACATCTCTGTCTCTCTTTGGCTCAAGTTTTTCTACTGGGTTTGCAGCTTTCCCAGGAGGGAGGTGGAGACTGTGTAGAGCTGTGGAAAAATGTTTCTGATTTAGGGATGGGACTGAAAGGAGCACATGATTTCACATTCTTCTGTGGTTTGTCAGTGACTGTAATTGAATATTTCACTACATCTTTCTGGTTAATAAATGAAATTTTAACATCTAGGAAAGCTGATAATTGGGACCTCATTTCTGGGCCTTTACAGGATCAGACAAAATCAAGGAGAATATTCAGGAATCAAAATATTCTTAACAGCAGTGATCAGACTCAATTAATCTCACTGTATCTTAACTGCTTTGCATTATTTATAGACTTCAGGTCAACTACTGCTAAAGTCATTCACTGTATTGGGAGCTGGATGTGTATCAAAACTAAATACATGTGTGTGTGAGAGAGAGAGAAAAAACCCAAATGAAATAAAGACTGTGCAAGATGAAAAGAACTGGGCAAGGCCAAAGACTCATTTTGTGTGTAACTCAAGTCATATCACTTTACCATTCTCTGGTGATCTGTTGAGATGTCACTCAAGACAGTGTTAGCATTTTACAGCCTGGCTTTGGAAAGCAGGTAGAGGCAAAAGGCAAAGCATCGTGCTGCCTCATGTACCTCATACAGTGTCCCATACAGGGAGGAATGCTTCTCCAAGGTGCAGTGGTCCTACCATCAGATAGGTACAGCTACATTCCAAGCCTTAAAGCAGAGAGCTTCTCATGGGTGAGATAAGTACAGATACAGTGGTGATACTTGTGCAGTTTCACTTCAAAGTCACCTCAAGCAGAATTCTCTCAAATCAGGAATATTACAATAATACTTCAATAACATAGTGCTCAAAACACACAGACCATAATAAAAGCACTGTTTCTCAGAGCCCAGAAGACTACCATGGCTACAAGCTCAAAAAAGCAATCTGTATTAACAGCTGCCTGTGGTACCTGTCTGCCAATACTCTGTTCTTAAGGTCAGGAAAATTGGGTGGTGCAATGAGGATATAATGACTTTTCAAGAAGACCATTGAAGATCTCATAACAAACAACCACCAGGTTATATTTGAACATTGCCAAATATTAGGCAAAGACAGATCTGAAGCAGACTTTTTTTAGAGACTTAGAAAAATCTTTAATAATTTCATAGCGACTCAGCAAGACATAATCAGAACTGAAAAAGGGGTAATTCACAAAAAAAAAGGGGGGGGGGGGGAAACTGTCTAAGTCCCTAGTGGAATAGTCAAAACTTCTTACTCTACCTTTATACCTCCACAACACGACTGTTTTTCCTTGGAAGCAGAAGATTCAGATTTGAATGAAGATCGGTCAACAAGCAGGATTGTGTTTGAGAAAAGCTGAGTATTTTCTTTTGATGAAATCTCCATGATGATATCCCTTGCCTCTAAAGCAGAAAACATGGAGAACATTTTAAAAGGGCATCCTAATAGCTCAGCCTCAAAAGCTCATCATGTGACAGCAACACCCCGCTGTACTGTTTTCCCTACCACAGCAATTATCAAACTTTGCAACAGAATCTGACCAGTGTACTGGATGTTTAATTATGGAAATTTGCAATTCATTTGCCTATAATAATGAAGATTAAATCATACTCAGCAAGCAGTCATCATCTTCATTCTCTAGCTATCATCAATGTGATTTCATTGAACATTTAACCAAGCATTACTGGCAGACTAAATGAGTCTTGTTAACATTTTAAACAGCATTTTTGGAGCCTGTATGTAAGTTCGCATTTCTAGATGTGACTATGCCTGCAGAGATTTCTCAGAGCTAATCTCTGAATTTCCCATATATCTGGGACACTAAGTAATTAGATCAAAGGAAATCTAGCCCTGTTAATGAGGGACTTGAATTGGTTTAGATTGAAACATTAGCACTAATCGTCTGATGTTAGCTAATGAGTTACACAAGAATAAAGAGGTTTAGTTCCCTTTACCATTTTACATAAAGCCTTAGGGCTCAGTAGGCAATTGTTACTGGAAAAATGTGAATTTTCTTCTTTGCAGGTAAATACAAAGAAGTAAAGAAAACCTAAATACTGTACTTTCAGAACAGAAGATATCAGTAATTCTTAAATCTCTAATTACATACTGCAGTACTTTGTTCTTAATTTCAATCTCTAAATCAGATCTGAAAATATTTATGAAATCAGCTTCTGTGTTCACTGTTAAGCAGCACTATGTTTTATAGAACTGATGGCTGAAAACAGAAGTTCCTATTCTTTTACGTGTCTAAAGACACAGATCTTACGTAAGTAAAAAATATGTGTGGTTCTATGCATGTGTGTATATATATACGTATGCATACATGTGTTTTCGTGGCTTCCCAAGGTACTTGTACAAGTACAAGTAGGTACTTGTGTTTCCAGAAATGCAAGCGAAAATAACAGAAGTATATCTGGATGCTAAGATTTGCTCATGCAAATACTTGCCCAGGCTCTGTCCATATACAGACAAGGCAAAACGACTGTGGCTGTGGTACGAACATTTTCAATGATCTCTCCATCACATCAGATGAAAGAACAGCTACTGACTACATATAAGAGAAATATTTGTGTATGTCCTGACAAGGATTCTAATGTATTTGCTTGTCAACTCTAATGAGTATATAGATTTGGAGGAGGGGGAGGAGTGAGGGAAAGCAAACCTAATAAAAAATAATAATTATTTGTGCTTGCTACATAAAACTTATCACCTATTCCTACCCTGCCTCTGAATCGCTTCCGATCTTGGGAAAAACACATTGTCTCTCTGTGCCCCACATCTGAACTTGTACAATGGGGAATAAAAGCATGTACCTCACAGCACTCATGTAAGGAAATTCATTCCAACTTTTGAGCATGGGCACAACACTCACCTGATGCATGCTACCGTGTAAACACATCAAATAAATAATAGCCTTTAGTTTAAGATTTGAAATGCTCTGCATATTACTACTACAGCAATCTTGGTATGAAAAAAAATAAAAAAGAATTGAAGAAGGGAAACATCTTAAACACAGGACCGATAACCATACAAGTTTTACCAGTTTTAATGTATCCCAAATTGTTCCTATAGCATAACTTTAAAGAGGTCAGTAGTTTTCAAGCCCAGAGCAACCTAAAACCATATGTGTCAGAACAACAGTTCTGTTGCTATGACAATGCCTCTGAGGGAAGCAGTTAGCACAAGCCAGAGAGCAGAGCAGTGTGCCCTGTGGTACCACAGCCCACTGCAATATTAGTTTAATTTTTCATTTTTTGTGCAACCAGCACAAATATGAGTGTTTCACTAACCACAAACCTGCTTATGCCACTCAAATACTTTTTGGTACCACTGTTATTATACTCGGAGTATTTGTAATATACTGGCAAATGCATTGGGAGGTCAGAAATAGCCCTGGTTTTAGCCAAGAAGATATCTGGCTGATAAGGTTGGTCTTTTGCTGATTTGAGTATAATGACAGCCTTAGGTTTTTGCTGTATCTTGCCATGAAACATGAAGACAGATAACACATGTCAGCTCTTCCTTCCCAGACATGGCAGGGATGCCATAGAACCACCTAAGTTGCAAAAGACCTTTAAGATGAAGTCCAACCGTTAACCTAGCACTGCCAAGTCCACCATTAAACCATGTCACTAAGTGACACATCTACACACAGCACTCCAACACTTCCCTGGACAGCTTGTTCCAATGCTTGATCACCCTTTCAGTGAAGAATTTTTTCCTAATATCCAATCTAAACCTCCCCGGGTGCAACTTGAGGCCATTTCCTCTTGTTCTAGTCCCCCCTGAGGCTTCTCTTCTCCAGACTAAACAACCCCAGTTCCCAGTTCCTCATACGACTTGTGCTCCAGACCAATCACCAGCTTCATTGCCCTTCTCTGGACACACTCCAGCACCTCAATGTCTGTCTTGTAGTGAGACGCCCAGAACTGAACACAGGATTCGAGGTGCAGCCTCACCAGTGCCAAGTACAGGGGGATGGTCATTGCCCTGGCCCTGCTGGCTGCGCTATTGCTGATACAGGCCAGGATGCTGTTGGCCTTCTTGACTGCCTGGGCACAAGTTGCTCATGTTCAGTTGTCTGTTGACCAACATGCCCAGGTCTTTTTCTGCAAGCTTACTGAGGGTGCACTAGATCCCCTTGTCCAGATCACTGATAAAGATGTTAAACAGAACTGGCCCCAACACTGAGCCCTGTGGAACCACTTGTGGTCAGCCACCAACTGCATTTATCTCCATTCACCGTAACTCTTTGGGCCCAGCCATGTAGCCACTTTTTTACCCAGTGAAGAGTACACCCATCCAAGCCATGAGCAGCCAGTTTCTCCAGGAGAATGAATGCTGTGTGTAACGGGGTCAAAGGCTTTACAAAAGACTACGTAGGCAACATCCACAGCCTTTCCCTCATCCACTAAGCAGGTCACCTTGTCACAGAAGGAGATCAGGTTGGTCAAGCAGGACCTGCCTTTCATAAAGCCATGCTGTTAGGGCCTGGTCACCTGCTTGTCCTGTATGTGCTGTGTGATGGCACTCAAGGTGATCCGCTCTGTAACCTTCCTTGGCACTGAGGTCAGACTGAAGGGACCTGAAGGTCCCTGAATCCTCCTTTTGGCATTTCTCATAGATGGGTGTCACATTTGCTAACTTCCAGTTAACAGGGTCCTCACTGGTTAGCCAGGGCTGCTGATACATGATAGAAAGTGGCTCAGTGAGCACTTCTGCCAGCTCCTTCAGTACCCTTGGGTGCATCCAATCTGGCCCCATACACTTCTGTGTATGTAAGTGGCGCAGCAGGCCACTAACCATTTCCTCTTGGATTATGGGAGCTTCTTCATTGTGCTCCCTATCACTGGCTTTCAGCTCAGGGGCACAGTGCCCAGAGAACAACTGGTCTTATTGAAGAGTGAGGAAAATAAGACGTTAAGTACCTCTGCCTTTTCCTCATCACATCCAATAAAGATGGAGCTTTTCTTTAACCCTCCTTTTGTTGCTAATGTGTTTACAGGAACATATTTTATTGTCTTCTACAGCAGTAGCCAGATTAAGTTCTAGCTGAGCTTCAGCCCTTCTAATTTTCTCCCTGCATAACCTCACAACAACTGCCCCTTTTTCCAAAGATCACAAACTCTTTTTTTGATCTGAGTTCCAGCCAAGGGTCTCTCTTCAGCCAGAAAAAGAGACCTTCTTCCTTGCTGGCTCGTCCTTTAGCATATGGGGATTGCCTGCTCCTGTGCCTTTAAGATTTCATTCCTGAAGAATGTCCAGCCCTACTGGTCTCCTGTGCCCTTCAGGTCTACCTCCTAAGGGACTCAAACCAGTCTCCTAAGCAGGCCAAAGTTTGCCCTCTGGAAGCCCAAAGTAGCAGTTCTGTTATACTCCCTTCTCACTTCTTTGGGAATTGAAAACATCTATCATTTCATGACAGCCACGCCCAGGAAGGCCTTCGGCACACATAAACCACAAGTTCTTCTCTGATCACAAACAGCAGATCCAGCAGGGCGCCCTCCCTAGTTGGCTCACTCACTGACTGTGTCAGGAAGTTATCTCCACACACCCCAGGAACCTCCTAGACTGTTTCCTCTCTGATATATTCTATTTCCAGCAGACATTTGGGAAGCTGAAGTCCCCCACGAGAATAAGGGAGGGACGATTGTGAGACTACTCCCAGCCGCTCACAGAATATTTCGTCTGTCTGTTCATCCTGGTTAGATGGTCTATAACAGACTTTCAACATGATATCTGCCTTGCTGGCCATCCCTCCAATTCTTGCCCATAAACACTCAATCCTATCATCACCATCATTAGGCACTAGAACAAATCAAAACACTCCCTAACATACAGGGCTCCACCACTGCCTCTCCTTCCTTGCCTATCCCTTCTGAAGAGTTGGTAGCCATCCAGTGCAGTTTTGCTTCCTCACACCTATGACACCTGAGTAAGTCCAGGTGGGTCACACCCTGCTGGAAGCACAGCTGCTGGCCATACTCACACTTTCTCCCTACCTGTCACCGAGGCTCACAGCTGGGGCTTGACCTCTCCTTGTATTTATTCCTGGCTTTAGCTGGCCAGGGTGTGGGAGTTCTCTGTGCTGGTTCTGCTTTCTATCTAACTGAAAGCACATCTGATAGCCCACCTGTGACACAGCTCCAGTGGCAGAAGCACTCATCCTCCCAGAGGCTGGCAATGGGGCTGTGCCTGGTGGTCAGGTCCAAGGATGAACCTGTCCCTGAGCAGGCATATGGCAGTCTGAGACACTGCCAGGAAGTGACCACTCATTCAAACTCCAGGCAATGAGAAAAAAAGTCCTTCCCCGCTGGAAAATCCTTTGTTTTGCAGTAAGCCTCCTTAGACATTCCTTTGTTGTGTGTCAGCCCAGAGGCATA